CCTGTCCAGGAAGCAGCACCCACTCAACCCTTAAAGGCCCTGGAATCCTTTGACATACTACCTACCCTTCAGAGGGAAGATACCCCACCACCTGGCCCATCCCGAGGACATCTGGATATATATTTACATGCGCATTCAAATTGCGCGTCTGGTGAGTGTGCCATTTTTCCACAATTACTTGCACAAGCACCAGATTACCAGTGAAGCAGGCACCTTCAGAGCACTATAGTCACCTTTGAACTTTGAATATCATTTACTTATTGTCTATTCATGAACTTTATTTAGTGCCTTTGATTAGTTGGTTCTATATGAGAATATTTTTATCATTATTATTTTTAGCGCAGCACCACTACTGCCCTCAAGAATAAATTGGTGGTTTTTGCTATTTTTTTTATGTCACATGGTATATGCTCAGTGGTTTTTTGAATGCAATTTTATGGGCAAAAAAATTGAAGGAATTGTAGTGCAATAGAACACAATACATGACCCAATTTTTTGTAAAATATAAAAGATGATGTGACATCGAGTAATAGATATCAAACATGTCAAGCTTTAAAATTGCGCACGCAATCAGATTATCACTTATGGACTAACAACATCCAGTTGACATATAATATATTTAATTTATGTGGACTATTTCATATATCATTTTAAGTGCTGCACTTTACATATATATATATATTGAACATTCACATCAGTCCCTAACCCTCAAGGGGTGTACAAGCTAAGGTCCCTAACTCACATTCATACACATATTAGGGCCAATTTAGACAAGATCCAAATAACCTACCAGCATGTCTTTGGAGTGTGGGAGGAAACCAGAGTACCCGGAGGAAACCCACACAAGCACAGGGAGAACATGCAAACTCCATGCAGGAGGCACCATGGTCGAGAATCGAACCCATGACCCATTTACTGCAAGGCAGACATGCTAACCGCTAAGCCACTGCGCTGCCCGTCATACATGGTATCTCCTTCATATTCCTCCTCCAATATAGATTAGTGCCCCCTGCAGTGGAGACTGTAGACTGCACCTGCCTACAAAGCGATTCTAAGTTTAAGTGCTGCACTTTACATATATATATATTGAACATTCACATTGGTCCCTAACCCTCAAGGGGCGTACAATCTAAGGTCCCTAACCCTCAAGGGGCGTACAATCTAAGGTCCCTAACCCTCAAGTGGCGTACAATCTAAGGTCCCTAACCCTCAAGGGGTGTACAATCTAAGGTCCCTAACCCTCAAGGGGCGTACAATCTAAGGTCCCTAACTCACATTCATACACATATTAGGGCCAATTTAGACAGGATCCAAATAACCTACCAGCATGTCTTTGGAGTGTGGGAGGAAACCAGAGTACCCGGAGGAAGCATGCAAACTCCATGCAGGAGGCACCATGGTCGAGAATCAAACCCATGACCCATTTACTGCAAGGCAGACATGCTAACCACTAAGCCACTGCACTGCCCATCATACCCGGTATCTCCTTCAGATTCCTCCTGCAATATAGATTAGTGCCCCCTGCAGTGGAGACTGTAGACTGCACCTGCCTACAAAGCGATTCTAAGTCCTGTTGGCAGCTTCACATTTTTACATCTAAAAACAACTAAATATCCAAAATTTTGGTCAGTTAATGGTAGCTAAAGAGAGAGGGGATCAGGATTCCTCCCCTTAAACAGAGGTCACATGACTAAAGGCCAGGACCGGAGGAGGCAATCTGGAGCAGCATATTTTCTCTGGGAAAGGGAACGTGTTTCTGTTTTCTATTATATTTTGTATTCATCCTGGCCAATAAACAAAGCTTTATGTTAACATCTGAGTAAAGGTCCACTTTAAATTCTGTCTAATGATGAATTCCTTTTAATAAAATGTACCGGCTGCATTTTTTTTTTTTTATAGCAATTATCTTTTTTTTTGAAGCCCAGTCTGGCGGTATTTTTAATGCAGATCTCCTCTCTTGTCCAATTATTCCTATAAGCAATGTTGGGGCATGTACCACTAAACTCATAAAAAAAAAAACAACAAAGCTGCCAAATAAAGCCGGTGCACTCGCAGCGTTTCGCGTCTGACGACGATTAATCAAAATACCAGGTGCTAATATAGCAGCCAAACCACTGGCAACACTTTAATAGACAGCATTTGTTATGGTAATGTACAATTAGCTGGTAAATAGCACCTGTTTGAACAGTGTGATGAGGAAATCCCATTGGTATGCTTAATTAATATTTTGACGAGAATATATAATAATGATTTCTGATAGCTAATGCCTTCACTATCCTGCCGAGAAGCAATCTAATATTGCTCGCCCCGAATCCTCATTCCCTTTACCTCTTGATCTCCTGAAGCTGCAACAGGAGAAAATTGCTTATAAATTAGAAGATTGAGGCAACAACGGACTGACTAATGAGCTTAAAGGCACCGTGCGCAGTAGGACCGAAATTAACTCGCTGATATGATAAATTGGATGTTTTAATGGCGGAGTTAGGTGGAAAAAGATTTCTAAAATAATGACCTTAGAAAAAAGAAGATTGCCAGGACCCTGTGTGGCTGTCGCCGGTTTCTACTTTTGTTTCTTTTCTTTTTTTTTTTTTTAAAAAAAAGCTTTTATTCTTATTTGCCCCGACCTTAATGTGGGCTGTCAGGACTTCGAGTGTTACCACAAGGCAAGCAAGGCATTTGCCCAGTGGTGTGTTTGGGTTTTGTGCTGCCCTAGGCAACACAAAAATCGTCTGCCCCAATGGACACCGACCAACACCCCCCCTCCCCTCAAGTCTGACATTGACCAACAACACCCCTGCCCCCCACTTGGGAGAGCCTTCTACTACCCCCATCCCCCCCCTTCAAGTGTTACCACAAGGGAAGAAAGGCATTTGCCCAGTGGTATATTTGGGTTTTGTGCTGCCCTAGGCAACAAAAAAATCATCTGCCCCAATGGACACCGACCAACACCCCCCCCTCCCCCCTCAAGTCTGACATTGACTAAGTCACCAAGAACACCCTTGCCCCCTATTCAGGAGAGCCTTCTACTACCCCCCTCCCCCCCTTCAAGTGTTACCACAAGGCAAGCAAGGTATTTGCCCAGTGGTATATTTGGGTTTTGTGTTTGCCTAGGCAACACAAAAATCGTCTGCCCCCACTGACACCAACCAACACCCCCCCCTCCCCCTCAAGTCTGACATTGACCAACAACCAACAACACACCCCTGCCCCCCACTTGGGAGAGCCTTCTACTACCCCCCCCCCAACCCACCCACCCCCTTTCAAGTGTCACCACAAGGCAAACAAGGCATTTGCCCAGTGGTGTGTTTGGGTTTTGTGCTGCCCTAGGCAACACAAAAATCGTCTGCCCCAACGGACATCGACCAACACCCCCCCCCTCAAGTCTGACATTGACCAACAACACCCCTGCTCCCCACTCGGGAGAGCCTTCTATTACCCCCCTCCCCCCAATCTCACATCCCCCTGGTGATAGAGAGAAAGACACTCATCTTCAAAGCTCCGGACATCAGCAGGAACGGGAGTCAGGCTCTACGTATCATCAAGCAGCCCGCAGCCTCTCTTGGATACCACCTCGTTCCCTTCTTTCATCCCTTCTTCTGGGGGGAGATGCTGCCCCCCTGAAAAATGCCGCCCTAGGCGATAAAGACACTCATCTTCAAAACTCCGGACATCCCTGGGAACGAGAGTCAAGCTCTACATATCATCAAGCAGCCCGCAGCCTCTCTTGGGTACCACCTTCTTTCATCCCTTCTTCTGGGGGGAAGGTGCTGCCCCCCTGAAAAATGCCACCCTAGGCAAGTGCCTTGTTTGCCTTGTGGTAAATACGCCCCTGCATTTGCCTAGGGCAGCATTTTTCAGGGGGGGGCAGCACTGGCTCCCTGGAAGAAGAGACGGAAGAAGGGTCACATGTGGCATAGGGACCAGGTGGGAACCGAGAGAGAATGGGAACTGCTTGACGGTGTATGTAGAGCCCGACTCTCATTCCCAGAAGTGTCCGGAGCTGTGAAAGTGAGTGTCTTCTCTTTCTTGCCAGGGGTTCGGCGTCTGGTGTATGGGGAAGGGGTGATGGTAGTGGAAGGCTCTCTTAGGCGGGGGGGGGGGGGGGAACAGGAGTGTCGTTGGTCAATGTCATTCTCTCTCTACGGGCAAGAAGGGGTGGTGTTGGTCGGTGTCAAACTCTCTCCGTGGGGGAGGGGGTGGCCGCCAATTTTTGTGTTGCCTAGGGCAGCACAAAACCTAAATATACCACTTACTAAATGCACAATGGTGAAATCAGTCTATAGATGCAGTAAAGCAGGGGTGTCAAACTGGTGGCCTTCCAGCTGTTGCAGACCTACCCATCATGCCTCTGCCTTTGGAAGTCATGCTTGTCACTGTTAATCTTGCAATGCCTCATGGGACTTGTAGTTTGGAGCTGGAGGAGCCGCCAGTTTGACACCCGTGCAGTAAAGCATGCTTGTTATACTCACTGTGGAACCTAAGGGGTTAATCCTCCGCATTGTGTAAAAAAAAAAAAAAAAAAGGCTGTTTGATCCTGTCTTCTCTCCCAAACCGTACTCTCCACTTCTCGCACAACCTCCTGCTCTCTAGCTCCCTTGTCTCCTCCCATGCTCATCTCCAGGACTTCTCTAGAGCTTCCCCCATCCTCTCGAACTCTCTACCCCAATTTATCAGAATGTCGCCTACTCTGCTCACTTTTAGGCGATCTCTGAAAACCTCTCTCTTCAGGGAAGCCTAACCTGCCCTCAGGTAATAACGGAATCTTCTATTCCTCCTACCAGTCCATCCCCCACAGTTACTACCTTTTGTACCACTAGCCCCTCCCTCTTAGATTGTAAGCTCCCAGGATCAGGGCCCTCCTAACCCTCTTGTATTGAACTGTATTGTTGCTGTATTGTCTCCCGTTATATTGTAAAGTGCTGAGCAAACTGTTGGCGCCATAAATCCTGTATAAGTATAATAATAATAATAATTCTCTGCCCCTCTTCTTGTTGAAACGACCACCTGATACAGACTGAAACCGTGGTCACATGCACATGCTCAGTTTGGTGTGTAATGCTAGAGAGCTTCTTTTTTTTCTTGGGAGGGTGCGTGTGATCAGCACAGGGCCAATCAGCACTGTATAGTGAATGCAGGGTCCGAAGAGAGTGTATATAGTGAATGCGGGGTCTTGGGGGACCAGATATAGTGAATGCGGGGCCCGGGAGAGTGAATATAGTGAATGCAGGGTCCGGGGAGACCGGATATAGTGAATGCAGGGTCCGGGGAGACCGGATATAGTGAATGCAGGGTCCGGGGAGACCGGATATAGTGAATGCAGGGTCCGGGGAGACCGGATATAGTGAATGCAGGGTCCGGGGAGAGTGAATATAGTGAATGCAGGGTCCGGGGAGAGCGGATATAGTGAATGCGGGGTCTTGGGGGACCGGATATAGTGAATGCAGGGTCCGGGGAGAGGGAATATAGTGAATGCAGGGTCCGGGGTTTAGTAACACTTTAAGCTTGGCTATAATGGGCAATAACTTAGAGTGGCCTTTCAAGGGCAGTATAATAAGCTTAGCAAGTGATGTGTAATATTACCTCCCAGTTGAAGTTTGAAGAGCATTGCCATCAAGTCGAGGTTAGTGAAGTAGGACAAAACCCTTCATTTGTGCTTTGGAGGACAAAACCTACAGTTTAGCTTCGAGAGAACGTACCTTTAATCTGGACTTTGATGAACAAGACTCCCGGTTGGGCTTTACAAAATGAGGGCTTTGAGGCAAAAAAACTATAAACTAGGCCTGAAGGGCGAGGACCCTCAATCTGAGCTTCGAGGAGTAATATTACAAACTGAGCTTCAAGAGAAAGGACCTTTGGGATTTGAGGGATAAAACCTTGACCTGAATTTTAAGAGACACGACTCTTGATCTAGACTTTGAGGGACAAGCACCCCCAGGTGTGCTTCAAAGCATATCACCATTGATCTCGATTTTAAGGGCAAAACCCTAACCTGGGCTTCAAGAGTCATAACCCTCGATCTAGACTTTGAGGGACAAGCCCCCCCAGGTGTGCTTCAAAGGATGTCACCATTGATCTGGGTTTTAAGGGCAAGACCCTAACCTGGGCTTCAAGAGTCATAACCCTTGTTCTAGACTTTGAGGGACAAGCCCCCCCAGGTGTGCTTAAAAGGATGTCACCATTGATCTGGGTTTTAAGGGCAAGACCCTAACCTGGGCTTCAAGAGTCATAACCCTTGATCTAGACTTTGAGGGACAAGCCCCCCAGGTGTGCTTCAAAGGATGTCACCATTGATCTGGGTTTTAAGGGCAAGACCCTAACCTGGGCTTCAAGAGTCATAACCCTCAATATAGACTTTGAGGGACAAGCCCCCCAGGTGTGCTTCAAAGCATGTCACCGTTGATCTCGATTTTAAGGGCAAGACCCTAACCTGGGCTTCAAGAGTCGTAACCCTTGATCTAGACTTTGAGGGACAAGTCCCCCAGGTGTGCTTCAAAGGATGTCACCAATGATCTGGGTTTTAAGGGCAAGACCCTAACCTGGGCTTCAAGAGTCGTAACCCTTGATCTAGACTTTGAGGGACAAGCCCCCCAGGTGTGCTTCAAAGGATGTCACCAATGATCTGGGTTTTAAGGGCAAGACCCTAACCTGGGCTTCAAGAATCATAACCCTCGATCTAGGCTTTGAGGGACAAGTCACCAAGTGTGGACTTGGAGAGATAGGACCCTTATTCTACACTTAAAGGGGCAAAAACATAAACTTGGACTTTTAGATACAGAACCTTTGAGCTGGGCTTCAAGCAAGACACATATGCTACTCAGTTTTAAAGGATTCAAAGGGTTGTCCTTTTAACTAACCTCCTGTACCTCAACATTATGGGGTAGATTCATCACTAAGCCTCCAGTGATGGATCTGGGCTCCTGAACTAAGGCAGGAGTCTTGAAAGTAGCATGAAAACGAAAATGTTGAAGCTACAGGTGGTCAAGATGGATCTAAGCAATGGGAGAAACCCATAAAAAATGATTAGTCTCTTCGAAGCATGTGCCACCTTCAGACATTATGAAAATGTTTATTTCATAAGCCTGTAAAAAGTATAAATGAAGGGCATCATCTGCAGTTTAATTGCCATGTGATCAGTTTTGAATTTTGGCCTTGACAAATACATCTAAATAAATGAAATGACCTTATTAGCCGGCACCGCATGATCTGCCGGCATAATAATCTGCCAGCTAATAATATTGTTAATAATCAGACCTCTGTGGCGTTACGATGATTACTCTAGCGATGGTTATTCCCTTTCCCTATGGCAGCGAAAGAGTTCATTAGGGACTTGCATCTTCCGCTCGCAGAAATGTCACCTCGCTCTTTCTACAGGCAAAACACAGCGGTGGGACAATTAACTTAGTGACGGGTTCACACCGAGCGCCAACTGAAAATGATTTGCTAAGATGACCTTTCCAGCGCCGAGGAAATCTGGGAGCTGGCGCCGCACGCAACTAGTTAACTTTCCACTTGGTTAACATTCTTGCAATGCGCACTGTAACAATACTTTAATATAATTAAATTTTAAATTCCATGTAGGATCTAGTGGGTAGGCAGATGTACCGGTATGTTAAAGTTTATGTCGCTTGAAAATGGTTTTCAAGTACATCAGAGGGAGACCATCCAGCTGTAAAATTATCTGCTTTATGATGCTCTATCCCAGCATTGCGCTCTTCCCCTTAATTAAAAATATACCTTAAAGTATAATGTGTTCAGGCATTATTCTCACTTTTTTTCTTTTTAACAGCCTGGGAGAAAAAAAAAAAAAAAAAACCTGTATAATCTTTACGGTATAGAAACCCCCAGAGAACATACTTGTCACAAGGGTGAATTTCCACTCCTTGCTTCTTTGAAATCGCCTAGATGCACATGGCTTGGTGGCTCGGTGGTTAGCAGTTGGGGCTTGGGTTCAGTTCCCATCAAGGACCGGTAATGACTGAATCAGTAGGTATCCATTTTTGCCAAATTTCTGATTCAACTGAATGCAGAGCCATCTGATCGTCATGGAGTCCTGCCATTCAATAATCAGGGCAGTGGTGATACAGTAATGCAGGCCATAGACGGGTCGAAAACCGTCTAAAAAAAAGAAAAATCGGTCGTTCAGTCGGCTGATGTTACCACCAATGGTAAAAAAAATCACCTGATTTTCGTCCCGTCTATGGCCGGCATTTTATTACTTCTGTCCAGGGGCGGACTGACCATTTGGAAACTCGGGCCATGCCCGAGGGCCCGGGGTCAGTAGGGGACCCCATGAGATGCCCCTAGTACCTTTTTCATAGGCTTTTTTGAGTTTGGGCAAGGACACAGGGGCCCCCATGATCCCCTATTGCCCGGGGGCCCCATGAGTTGTCAGTCCGCCCCTGCTTCTGTCCCTTGCAGAGAGCTCCGCTATTGTATTTGACATGAAAAAGTATTGCAGTTGCAACAATGTATCCATTTGTATCCATTTCGGATACAGATGTTTTATTCGGATACAAATGGATACATTGTTGCAACCACAATACTTTGCATATAAAATATAATAGCAGACTGGAATTCTTCTTCTTTTTTTCTTCTTCTTCTTCTTCTTTTTCTTGCGGGGTCACGGCTCATGCGCAGATTTTTTATCGATAAAACGACTGGCCAATTTGCCCATCATTGGCCGATTTTTTTCCAACTTTACCGATAAAAAAAAGTGGCAAAACCCCGAAAAACAACCGACCAATTAACCCACTAAATTGGGTTGTGAAAATTGGCCGATTTTTTTTTTTGGCCGAAAAATCGGCTGATTTTTGACCCATCTATGGCCTGCATTACTGTACACTGAACAAATCTTTAGGTGTTTTTTTCAGGTGAGGGAATAATTGGCACATTGCTCTAACCTTTAACCCCTTCACGCCGGCGCCTCCCGACCCTTTAAGGGTTTCAGAAGCCAGGAGGCGGGGTGGGGTTTAGGGTCATGTGACCTCTGTGACACGAAGGCACGGCGGTCACATGATCGGGAAAGGTCCCAATCGAAAGAGGAGATCGGGACCTTTCCGTGAGTACTGGACGTGTGCACTGGGAGTGGGCAGGGCGCGCGCTCTCAACACATATGCTCTTTTTTAATAGAACGCAAATGTGCGGCCGGGAGGCACCTAGGCCCAGACACCGGGAGGCCACACATTTGTGAAGAGTTTAAAATGATCTTTTGGTTGGGGCTGGGACGTTATCTGCATGGAGCTGCTATGTTGTCCTGTTCTTTTGTGGATTTGCTTTGGACACATGGAAAAAGGAGAGACCAAAGCAAGAAAAGAAGGGAAAAATTCCTGATTATAAGCCAACGTCCCCAACAGGGGCGGACTGAAAACTCATGGGGCCCCCGGGCAATAGGGGATCATGGGGCCCCTGTGTCCTTGCCCAAACTCAAAAAAGCCTATGAAAAAGGTACCAGGGGCATCTCATGGGGCCCCCTACTGACCCTGGGCCCTCAGACAGTGCCCGAGTTTCCAAATGGTCAGTCCGCCCCAGATCCCCAATATAACAATTGGTAAAAGGAGAGACCCCCTGACAATGGGACTTTAAAGGTTTAGAAGGTACTAGAAGTATTAAAAAAGTACAAATTATATTTGTCAAAAAAGGTGATAACAAAAAGACATACAAAACAATACATCATACAGAGCCATAAACAAGCATCACAATCAGAAAATGACATGATAAGGATACCCAGTATGACTGTTTGACTGGTCATAAAAGATACAAATTGGTATCATAGATGTAACAAAGCTGCAGAGATGTTCCAATGCGTTTCAGAGTGATTCCACTCCTTCCTCAGGGAAAAGAGAAGAACTCTGCATGTGGATGACATCATCTACAGGATTAAACATATTTGTTGGAAACGTCTCATATCCAGAACATATAATACCTTTTACTCATTCACAAAAAAAAAATGTGTAAAAATTGACAGTAGACAGTCTTTGACAAGTTCTTTATTTAAAACTAAAAATTAAAAAAAAAAATGCCCCCCCGAAGCAGATCCAACGTCAATCACGATGACCGCCGCAAAAAAAAAGAGCCGCTCCGCTCTTGATGATGTTTAGCTCCGGGCCGTCTGACAGCTGCGCCGGGATGCCAATTCTTAAATAATGTGATGACGTCACAAGGGGGTCACCCCCGCCCCCCTCTTGTGACGTCATCATGCGCGCTGAGTGGCCAAAGCATTGCACCTGACCTGTGGTCTGGTGCATTGCTCTGACCAATCACAATGCACTGTCAGGGCGCAGTGCATTGTGGCACGCAGCTGGCGAACAGCCCGCTCGCCGAACACACGAATGGCCAAGGTTTGAGTAGCATTTTAGTAGCGTTTAGAAGCATTTAGGAGCGTTAGTGTTTTATTAGCGTTTTTACAGTACATGTAGGGGAAAAAAGCTGTTAGGAGCAGGGGCAGACTGACAACTCATGGGGCCCCCGGGCAATAGGGGATCA